ATGCTATTAGCTTAATCGAGGGGGTAACCCGAGAGCTTAATATACTTAAATCTCTATATATTCTTATCTATTTATATCTTTTGTATATCTGATACAACTTTTTCGCAGATTCATAACCTTAAATTAAAATTAAAGATAACCTGTTACTCACCCACAATGTACAGCAACGCAATTATAATAACAATCATTTGAACTGTAAAATAAAATTACATACAAATGTAAAATTACATACAGTAATAAATAACTGTAAATTGTTTCATTAGATAACTGTAAATATTATTTTTAAGATTAACTCTCCAAGTAACAAATAAAATATATTATAAATCAGAAGATAAATACTTACCTCACATAGTTACTCCGCCGTCGCCTACTCCTACTTCTCTTCTCAAGTTTCTTCATCGTACTCACACAAATACGACACAACACTCTCGAAAACTATTAATTACGTTCGCATGCTCGCTTTAATTATTAGAATATAACGATCATGCGACACTTCGCACTCCCGATTTCAATCTTATTATTGTGAAAGTATTATTGTGTCGTATTGTGAAATAATTTCTAATTCTCATTTCTATGTCAAATAAACAAAACTGTACAAAATTATCATACTTTTATAAATAACTATTCCGTTAAGATACGAATTGTTATTGATACAAAGAAATTTATCTTCAAAATTGATCATTGCTAATTGTTGAACCATAAAGAATTAATTGCGTTTTATATTTCTTGGTCTTACGTGATTGCGTTCCGATACAAGGAACGATTTACGCCGTTACCTGCCTTCTCCAGTCGCGAAGTTTGAATGATTGTGTGCGGCGACTTTTTTTATAAATACAGTGCGTTAGGAAAAAGAAACAAAACCATGTATTAACGAAATATTCAAAGTATTATAAATGTATATAGCGAATATTCTATTCGTTACGTTTCAAACTAGCTATTAATAAACGATTTATTTACGGCATATTTTTTTGTTATTTAACTCATATAACGACACATACTACGCTACACTTTCAATTAAAAAGACGATAAACAAATTACTTTCAAATTGGCAAAAAATCCAAAATCAATATACGAAATTACAAGTCTATACACTGAAAAAAAAAACTAATAATAGCTAACAAATGTTCAATGAAATAATCAAATGTTTGGTTAATATAACAAAAATAATTTTACTTTTCTAAATATTTGGTAAACATTGTAATAACGTAACTAATCGTTTTGTAATGCAATATTTACTAAATATTTAGAGAAGTAAAATTATTTTTGATTACATGTATTAAATCGAAATTTGATTGGAATTATTTTACTCGATATTTGATAATTATTATGTAATATATATCAGACTCTTTTTCAATATACACACAAATTCTTCGTGATCGCGGTGGCCAATTTTTAATCATTTAAAAAGTGAAAAATATAATGTTTATATAACGTTTTCCTATTAAGATCTTTGACTTGAAAATAAATTTTCTCAAATACGTTATTAAAATATTGTACGATGACATACTTCGCCTACAATCATCTACTAACACAGATGAACATTTATCTTCATAACTAGCATTATTAAATACAAACATGTAACTGCTGCAAAAGGTTTTAATTGAAATCAAGTAAAACTTACGGTTGAATCAGTATGTTTAAAACTCAGTTTGTTAGAATTATAGTAAGTCATCAGTATCTCCTGAGGCAAGGCGAACTTAATATATTCTCCTTATATTCCACGCAGTTCATTGTCAGTAAAGTTTCAGTGAACGCATTTAACGCAGTTTATGAAGTTTCTTCGGCGTCGAGCGTATCGAGCAGCGATTAGTCGCGAAAACTTTTCTTTAGATTGAAAAAGAGACGGTTTCCAAAGTTCGAAATTAATTGAAATTCTACGTTATTCGGGCAAAATTACATTGGTCGATTAGCCTCTTAAGGCGGTCTTATCAAGTCAAAAATCCACAAGGGATTCGCAAGTAAACACAGAAGTTCCGTTTCCTCTCATCTGTGGTTTCGATCGCGTGTCAAATTTGAGTTTTCCAATGTGGTTCTAGCGTAGAGTAAACTCGGCACATCGACACTATTGATTTTGTGAAGGGTATCGAGGAGGTCAGAAAGAGGGAGATGGAGGGAGAGAGAAAGAGGGAGAGAGAAAGAGAGACAGAGAGAGAGAGAATGTATATGTGTATGTATCAGAGAAAATCGAGAGTAGGTGAGGTCAACCCTTCATTCAGGTTGGTTTATGTCTGATGGATGAAACCTAAAGTATATGGTTTTTTCCGGATTTATGTTTAGAGTTATCCTTGAACACACTGCCCTGAGCCACTCTTATAACGGGTAAAAATCGATATATACTTTAGGTTAAAAAGGTCAATATATCGCTCAAAACACATTATTCAACAGGGATGAGTAATTTCTAATATTAAAAGCAAAGGTCGCTGTTGGTTCAATATCCCGGATTTTTTAATATTTCATTGTGCATTTGTATTGATCTTGGTAGGTACTGTCACTTTAAAATAGATTTGTTCTGATTCATTTATCACACTACTAATATAACAATACTAATAAGAATATGAATACGTGTATACGTATAAATGAATTAATTTATTCTTTTATAAAAAACGTTAGAATATAATTAGTTCATATCTTATATAATATTAAATTATTAATTAAATTCATTAAATTATAAGAACGAATTAAATTATTAAAATAAGTTATTAAGAAAAATTTTGTAACAGAAAATTTTGTAATCAACTTGTAAATGAACACAAAACCTCTGTAAAAATTTAAAACGCGTCTTAACATAAAAAGTCTAATTTTTCTCAAAAAAATCATTTTTTTTGTTGGATAAACAAGTTAAATTAAGATTATAAAACTTTAATAATTCTTAATTTAATCATAAATCATTTTAAAGATGTTCATCTTCATAAATTTCACGCTCCGACTCTTCGTAAACTTTATTAAATATGAAAACTATTCAGCATCAAATTGAAGTAATAAAATATACATTATGTCAAATCGATTAATAAATATGAAATTTTAGTGTAGAATTCAGCTCTCGTTTCCTGTCAAATCTTTAAAATATACTTTATAAATTGTGTAGTTTGATATTTAAGAAATGTTCTATGCGAAATTTAATATTAGGTGTTAAACGGTCCAACATATCTCTGTAACGATTTCTTACAACGGTGCATGAATAAAGATATCCGAGGTTGACGCATATAGGAGCACTATAAAAATAGTTTGCTGAATACCATACTGCTTTTATGCATGCTCTCGTGTATCTCAAAGTTTAACATCAAAATACTCATCATATAACGTTTTATACATCTTTTTTGGCATAAATCGCATCAACTGATTTTATTGCTTATAAAATAATAATATACAATAACACTATTATTTAATAGAAAGGCAATTTTGCATCTTGAAATTTATTTTTATACTCGATGTACATATTGAAAAAAAAAAAGAATCTTTTGTTTAATGATAAAAATATAATAAAGTATGTTTTATATATTATCATTTTTGTCATAAAATAGTTTTGTTCTACCGTCTTATATCTATCATATAACATGAAAGATACAACAAAACGTTAATATCATCTTAATAAAGATATTAGAGGAAGGTCACCGATACTGACTTAGGTCTCCTAAAGCGACATCCCCTTATTTCTTAGAAACTAACCTTTGCATTTTATTAATACTAATAAAAACGTGATCTGTTTAGCTAATTAAAGAAGTACAAACTCATAATTCATATATGGTATTTGTGGCTTATTTCTATACCAAATCAGTTAAAAAAAATTCTATGAATCCGAGAAGAAAATTCTTATGGTGTTCTTTTGCAAATTGCGTAATTAAAATAATAGTGACTGTATTATTGATAATATTATGTCATTTTAAATGTTTATAGTTTCATAAATTAGTTTTCTTTACAGAATAGGATTCTTTATTTATAGAACAGGAATGTTGGCATTATTGCCTACTATGTCAGTTTTGGAGCCCATTTTGTCAGACGCTTATTTTTGCATAACTTACGAAAAACTTAATTATTGCAAAATTGCAAACAATATTATAAAAATTGCTTATACTATCTGATAGAAGATACTTTATAATTTGTATTTATGTTTTTAAAGTTGTATTTTTACCTTTTGTTTAAGAAATATTGTCTAAAAACAAAGTGGTATGTCGGTATCGGTGACCTTCCTCTAATAAAGTAAAGCAATCTTGATCAGTACATTGATGACAAAGATAGTCAAATGGATATACAGACATGTTCGTATCGAGAACCATGATTTATGACAAAGGGATATCGAAAGCTGTAATCGTGCTATGACAAATCTCATGAATGATTTGCGGCAATCTGCCGACAGAATCTGCTCGCGTTGGAATCTGTCCAAAATTGATGGTGCGTTTTCGTTGAAAACGTAATGCGTTCACGCAACGAACGACGAGTGCTAGGCGTATCCCGTATATCAACCAGCGAGACATGATTTAATGGTTATGAAGATAATGTATGTGTACGACGACGCAAGAGGGAATAATTGGCCAGGTAAACTGGGTTAGAAATCCTACTAAATCCTTTAGCGCTATTAATGAATGTATTTTTGACACAATCTCCGAACAGATGAAAATAATCGCGTAAGTAGGAACGCTATTTCACAACCGCTTAGCGCTAAAATGCATCATAGAATAGAATTTTGAACAGAATGATTCAAATCGCACAGCTGTATATTTTATAATTGCAAATATAAATTCTTCGGAATTGCATTACATTTTATTACAATGATAGGTTACTATATCTTAGAAAACATTATGACAGATAAATTAACCTACGTTTTGATGGTCAGATTAAATTCACAGCACAATCAAAAATTTAGAGAATATCATTAAATCTTTAGTCAGGCGATCAGAAAGCGCATGGAGAACGAAAATAATTTTAATAAAAATCTATCGAAGCGTATCACCTATCAAAAAAAAGGAAAAGAAGCAGAACGTCGCATTCTCGCTGAATCAAAGATTTTTATAATCAAAGACACGTCGGAAGAAGAAGAAAGATTCTCAATAAAAGAAACAAATTCTTTCCAAAAAGAAGCAATGAAGGAGAATGGAATATTAAAAGAGCCGACCATGTCAGAATCCTTTTCTACGAGAGTCGGTAATATAACCGAGAAATATGATAAATCAAAACGCGAAAATAACAATCCAGGAAAAATTGACGATAATATGACGGTGACGGCCGATAGACATCGATGTCAACGTCCTCTTCGTAATATAATTGGCAAACGAGAGCAGCGTAGAGAAGAATTGGAAAAGGTGGAAGGAGATCTGCGACAACGTCTGGATATGCTTGAGTGTTCGATACCGGCGGTGATGATATGGAATATTTGGAGAATGTCACAAGGCGTGCCTGTCTGCAGGATCAAGCGTATTCTGGAGAAACAATTTAAAGACACGAGGGAACTCTCTTGTCGCAGTACACCGAGCTGTCATTATGATTGCAGGGTACGAGAAGTCGAGGCAGAAAGAAAACTGGCGTTGAAAAAGGTGGAGGAAGCGCGAACTCTTTGGTCGGAGAAACTCGCGACGTTGGAAGAAAGAAAAAGAAAACTTGACGAAGCCAGGAAAATTCAGGAGGAACAAAGAAACGCGATAGAACGGTTAAACGAGGAAAATAGAATGCTGCAAGAAGCGATGGAAAAGGAAGCAATGGAAATGGACGAATCGTGCCAGTGCGACGATACACAATGTAAACAGAGACATCTCAGCAAAGTCTCTAGCGTGATGTCCATCGAGTCCGGAGACATTCAGTGTCTGGAGAAGCTACAACGATTAGCGGAGGAGGAGGTGATAACAAAACGAGAAATAGTCGAGTTGGAACGCCGTGAGGAAACTTACATGAGAACGCTTCAGCAGGCCGATGAATTGTGGTCAAAAATGGAGGGCGACATGGTCAGTACAACGAGCGCATTACAAGAACAATTGGACATGAAAACTGCCGCCAATCAACAACTCGCGAATCGTGTATGCGAATTGGAAGATGCGCTCGAGAAGTGCCGGGCAAGACTAATCACGTGTAGAACGGAACTAGAGAAGTTTCTAAGTATCGAGAAAGTCGAAGCTATGATAGGTCGCGATGATGATGTTGCGAAAGTGGCAGATAAGGAAGTTGCGGTAAAGGCTAAAGTCGTGCATCGGCGAATCGGTAGGATAGATGACATAGCCACAGTAAAGGACGACGAAATTCTTGCGAAGGTTGAAGTTGCGGATGAGGGAGTACTAGCGAAAACCAAAGTCGTGGACGAGGAAACGTTAGCAATAACCGAAGTTGAGGATAGGGAAGCATTGGCGAGAGTCGCTTTGACCGACGCCGATGTAGAAGCTACTTTTATCGTGGATGATAAATTCGTCTCGGTTAAACCCGACTTGGCTGATCTTGCTATCGACCGTCCGGTTGATCTTGTACAAATCGAAGATGCGGAAAGTATAGTTCGACCGGAAGACGTAGCTTATGAGCAACAGAGATTCAAAGAAGTTCGAGAATACTTGGCACAATTAGGCTCGTTAGAAGAGCTTTATACAGATGATGGTGTGCCGTGTGCACATGATTTCGTATGCAACGATGTGGTGACGTCACCTACTGGTATGACAGATGAGGAACTTATTGCGTTGGGCGTAGAACATCCTGCACTAACAAAGGAACGTGATGAAACCGTGATTACCGAGGAACGAGAGAGGCAATTTAAAAAAGAATTAGTAAAAAAATCACACAACGCTGTTGACGGGATTGAAAAAAGAGAAAAGAACGAAGATGAAATTCCTGGCGTCGAAATTGAGAGAAAAATTGCCGAGAAAGTGAAAAAACGGGTCGCTGAAGTCATAGACGTTAGAGAAACTGTAACGCCACGGACAATTAAAGAAGTTGTGGATGATAGGCTGGTAACGATGCTGAAAGATCGAGCGTCGGAAGTAAACAACATCGAGGCCGGAAATAAACAAAATCAGGGCATCGTGATACAACGGGATACGATCTTATCGTGGATTGATGCGATCGATACGATTCACACGACAGCAGCGGTATACAATTCGTATTATAATTAAAATTAAAGAAATATTGCAATTATATAAATATACACAAACTATATTAATATTTTAGCTAATAATATGATATTAGCTAGAAAAAGTTTAACGTAGTATAATATTATGTAGCACAATAAATGCAGAATATGTATATTTTTTCATAGTAATATATTTCCGTTCCATATATTCAGAAACATCCTGACTGTCGTGAAGTGAAGAAAGATGCTGATACCTTAGCAGAACAAGTTGGCACGTATGTTGGGGTAAGAGATCAGATGTACCTAATATTGCGATTCATTGTTAGTGAGTAATGATCATAGTTTGTGAGTAATGATACAAACAATACTTTTCAATTCTCACTATATTTAATAATATCTCGATATCTTACTATTTAATAACTCACTATTTAATAATACTGTTCTTTTCGAAGTATCATAATACACACATACCATATTCCAAAGATTTCTTGAACACAATGCCAAATTAACAGAATTTGCGTAACACGTTTAGATTTTGAGTAAATTGGGGTAAAATGAAAAAAAAAAAAGATATTTTTAGCCATTTTTAATATTATTTACGAAGAAACAAAAACTTATTTCTAAATAAAATTTACGGCATTTAAAAATACAACAAATTCAAAAATGTTCAAACGAATTTTAGTTCATGATTATATAATTTATTTTCATCAAGTTATGGTTGCTTAAACTGTAGACTTTCTGTATAATTATGTATTTCAACAAAAAATCTTTTTCTTATTTGAAATGCTATAATACTGCATATTTCGAAGATTTCATGCGCTGAACACGACACCGTTATCAGAATTTACGTACCAGGACTTTTAATAAATTGAAGTAAAAAAAAATGGGTCAAAAATCATCTCAATTTACTATTACCTCAATTTACTAAAAATTCTGATATGCTACGTCAATTTTGACTGTATCATGTTCAGCGTGAAAAAAACTTCGAGGTATGTACTTGATAGAGAAACAAAGTTTTGTTTTGGCGTAAAAAAATGTTGGAAACGGCCAAAAGTGCTATTTTTGGCCCATTTCAACTTAATTTACTCAAAATCCTGGCATAGTACGCAAGTTCTACCAACGGTATCATAGAAAAATGTTCAACGCAAAAATTTTCGGAATATGTACTGTGGTTCTTCAAAGAGAGAAAAGGTCACTTTTTGTCAAAGTATTTAATGTTTCGAAAAAAAAACAATAATTAATGTTTAGAAAAATTTGTAAGAATGCTTCCAATTTAATTAAACACAATATTTTTGAATTAAAACTCTATTATATATATTATTATAGCTCACACAAATTATGTTTTACAATAGATAAAACCTAAAGAAGTGGAGGAGGAAAATGCAACAATAAATACAGAAGGTAAGCAGGAAAAGGTGAGTGAGAAGAACGAAATAAAAATAAAATAAAATGGAAAGTTAATAAGTTAAATTAAGTTACAAGACGAATTAATAATTTTGAAGGCTAAAGAAATGGAACCTGTGATAAAAATTGATTCCATACCATTCCTTAACTCTGAAGAAGCATTGGCAGAAGTGAAAGCACCAATGGACGCAATAGCTGAATCAGAATTACTGCCTACTTTTACAAAAGAGGATGTACCAATTGACATAAAATTCCCTACGGCGATTTCAATGGAAGATTCTTTTCAGCCTCCTACAATTCACGATAAAAAATATTTGAAAAACGACACGCTTCCGTTAGCAATATCCGAACCAGATATTGAAATAAAAGCTGAAGAAATTGAAATACCTAAAGACAAAAATGCAGAAAAAAAAACAGTAGTCGAAGATCTAATAAATAATAAATTAACAACAAAATTAGAAGCAAATGATAAAACGGTAAATTCTGTAGATGAAGAAAAAACGTTGGTTGTTCCAAAAATAGAAAAGGAAGAACAAGAAGCCATATCTAATCATATAGAAAAAAACGATGAAAAAGAGAAAGACGTACCAACAGAAATAAAAATAAAAGAAATAACAGTAGAAAACGAAAAAGTAAATAAGGTGTTACCAGTGACAGAAATTGAGGAAAGCGAATTTGTAGAACGGGTTGCAGAAAAGTCGGAGGAAATTTCACTGTTAGAAGAAACTAAAATTTCAGACATAAAAGAAATGATACCACGTATAAAAATCATAAGAACAGATGAAATTGTAGAAGTTCCGCTGATTTCAGAAAAAGTAGAGGTAGAACAAGAGAAAAAGATCTCAGTAGTGGATGTAGAAGAAGTAAAAAAAATTATGCCAGAGACAATTTCACCAACCGTGGACATAACCGAGGTAGAAAAATTCAAACCTGACAAATTTCCTATCGATGTTGAAAAAACACCGATTACAAAAGCAATAGAAGAAAAAATTAAAATTGAAGAGCCTACACTTATTTTGAATGAAAAAGAAGATTCATTGTTTCTGGATGCGACAATTAAAGAAAAAATCGAAAATGAAAAACCCGCAATAAAAAAAGAAGAGGTTGACACCGCAGAATCGCTACTGATTGCCGAAATAGCAAAAAAAGAACAAAATAAAGTCACGGAACTGTCACCAATTGAGGCCATGGAAAAAAAAGAAAAAAATGAAGCCGTAAAGTTGCCACCAATTTCGGATATAGTAAGAGAAAAAAAAATTGAAGCCGCAGAGGTTTCACCGATTACGGATATAATGAAAACAGAACAAATTGAAGCCGCAGAATTGCTACCAAATATGATAAAGAAAGAAAAAATTGAAGCAGAAGAATTATTACCACATGCAGATGTAGTTACAGAAGGAGAGATTAAAATAATTCAGCCAATGTCAACATTGCCAACGATAAAAAAAGAAATGGAAGAGGAGCTCGAAGACCTGGAAAAAATGCTTAAAGTAGAAATTAAAAAAGAAAAAGATGAAGAAATAAAAGAAGTTCCACTGCCGGAAGAAGTTATACCATCTATCGAATTATCTGAAAAGAAGGAAGAAGAAGAAATGCCTCAAGTTAAAAAAGAGGAAATACCGACAACAGCTCCGCTGCTCAAGAAACCAACATCAAAAATAAAAAAAGAGGTATCAGAAGAGAAAAAGCCAGAAATGGTCCAGATAGAATTAAAAATTCCAATTGCTGAGATAAAATCGACCGAAATGGAAGTACCAGCGATACCATTCGATCCACGATTAGTGGCGCAGCCGTATCTAATCATAGCAAAGATCAAAGAAAAAGAATTGTTACAGATTATATCCGCGAAACCACCATGTACGGAATGTTGTTTGGTGAGTAAATATTATTCACTTCAATTATCGCTTTCTTAATAGTTATTAATAATTAACAATTTCTTAACAAATGCTATAATTTTAATATCTTCCTGAAAAAGAGTAATATAACTTTCATACATGGCATGAAAGCCCTAAATTATTCGTAGTTTCTTGTCTCGTTCTAGCACATGTATTAATAGCGGCTAACCATTCTGAATATACATGTATGATTCCATCACTTGCAGCGGCCACCGATCGAGACCACGAGGCAGTTCGAGATTCCGCAAACTAATGTACTTCAAACCGAAGTCGTACAAACCGAAGTGATACAAGCTGAGGTCGTACAAACCAAAATGATGCAAACCGAGATCGTACAAAATAAGGTCGAGCAAGCCAAAGTTGTACAAACCGAGGCCGTTAAATTATACGAAATATTAGTGAATATTTAAAACCAACCGAGCTAAAAGCATCGAGGACTGAAATCGCCGGCGACCGTCCTGAAATAACCGGCCGAAAAATGCTCTGGCGCAAACGCTTAAAGGACCAATCGACCGTCACGACTTTCAGCACCGGATCACAGACGGATAAAACAAGCCACGTTAGCCACGATCGAGTTGTAAGAGATGAAAGAGAACGCGCGAGAGTGCCCACGAATGAACTTTTACGATCTATAAAGATCGCCGCCGAGCTAACGCGACCGGACACAGAACGCGAGATTAGGACAATTAATTATGGCGGGAGGTCCGACGAAACGGGCAGAGCGGCTTGCAACTGTTGTTCATGTGGTAAAACTCCAACTCCGCCATTGGCAAGACCTAGATTAGAGGTTCAACCGCAGATAGATGCAACGCCTCCGGAGGCAATTGCGTTCAAGCGTATGTTTATTCGCTCTAAAATCGATCATCCGATATCGCATGATAGATTGTGTAGCGATTGCAAAGCGAAAATACAGAGCAGGATGCCGCACGAGAGACATCATATCAAGAAGATCATCAAGAAGATTTCTCATGATCAGGAAAGCTACGGCTTGTCACTGACTAGTAAAACGATACTTCGAAAAAGACTGATCGAAAAAAAGGATCAAGCTTGCTTGGCTAAAATACCTAAGCAGAAGATTAATCCTATCGAACAAAAAAGAAAAGATGATTTACAATCAATTTTAGAAGACTCGGAAAAATCAACCGTGGAACCACTATCTTCAAGTTGCATTTGCTTCAAATTAGAGAAAACTGGCGTAGAACCAATTAAAAAAGGAAATTGCTATTGTGGAGATTAAACACACGTATTTATCATTATTTTATTCAATCAGTCGTATAATAATATATATTATTTGTTTAATTAAATATTCGACTTGATATTGTACCGTGGCATTTATTTTGCCAATAATTTTATCCATTCAATAATATGAATAATATTAAAATAATACGCTACAAAAAAATATGTGCAGCCGCAGTAAGCTGTGAAAATGCTAGAAAATGCTATAAAACGTTATGATAGTGATAAAATGATAAAAAGTTTGAAAGAGTGGCTAGCAGCAGAATCATGAATAAAATGTGAAAAATGCATCACAGAATTTAATCAGAGTTTACGTGAATAGCGAACTCTTATGTTAGATTTCTGGTTGAGACAACGCCAGTAAAAAATGGAAGGATATAAAAGATGAAAAAAGAGATACGTAATATGTAATTTTCGATAATATGATCTTTACAGTGATACACTATATGCGAACAATTTCATTATATGAATAAATGCTTCTCCCGTGCTTTTAATTCATTCGCTGTAGCGTATAGTGCAACGATAAAATCAAATATTAAATTCATATTCAAATGTTTTTTATACACATATATGTAGCTGTAATATATTAATATATCAACTCAATTCAAAGTAGACAGACAATTCGAAAAATATAAACGTTTCATTTTAATCCGTATTTTAAAAAATTCAAGAAGATTTTTCGTGCAAATCAACGATTGTATAGACTACAGACAAATCAATACGGTTCTATATTGAATCAAAACCTCTTTCGTTGCCATACGCGTTCTTCAATAAGTAATTTCAATTGTAAATAACAGAAATCAAACAGCGCAGAGATCCATTCGCACAACGAATGTTTAAAGAACATCTTAAAAACGTATGCCTTTAGACATCCGTGCGGTTTTCTGAATATTCTTGCCATCTGCAAGTATTGATCGGCGCTCCGTTCGCCTTTCATCCCAGAGAATTGGCTAAAATCGAGACACTCACCGAACGTTGGCCAAGGTGTGTCTGCGGGATCGCAGGTTGTGATATCCACGTAGTTCGCCGATGCTGCCCTGCTCGGCCTGCATCCTAGCCTGAGCCGTCGCGGCGGCAGTAGCAATCACGTGGTGTTGGTGCCCTCCGGGGGCTCCCGCCGTCGTGATGCTCCTACGAGAACGCCAACCCGATCTGCTGCCGCTCGGCGTAGGCGATTTTTTCGGTTGATAAGGTCTGAAAATGGCGTTGGAAACGTACGTTGGCACACCAACGTATTCATCGTGTTAAATGGCGAAGCAGACCGCGTGTATAATATACATATATGTATATTACATATATGTATATATGTATACTCGTACCACCGTTCTAATTAAGAGTTCCTTAAATTGTCAAATCATGTCAACAAAATCGACCGAATTCCTATAAATTTATTGTTTCTTCGCAAAAGCACTTTGAACGCCTTAATACGTCACGACAATCTATTTACTGTTGCTGCGTTGTAAGGATGTCGCCCTTATATCATCCTTTATTTCTAACTTATCCTACTAAGTGTACCCTTATCTCTTATTCTTTCCGGGTTTTTATTTTTTTTTTCGCCTTGCTTTCTTGTTCACCCAAAAACTTCAACATACTGAATGATTCATAAGATTCTTCGTGTGGATTCGCATGAAAAAATGTCTCTTGACCCAAAAAAATTTTCGGCCAAAGGTATATTATTCAAATGTAATAATACGGAAATATGACATCTCATATAAAAAAGAGGATAGGATATATTACTTGTAATATATGGTAGTACATATTATTTGAAGATTTTATCCTATTTATAGGGATATGTTCATGAGCCACGTAATAATATCTAAATTCATTATACTCGTATTACAGAATTAATGTAGTGACGGTAACGGCCTTTCTGGGGCGCATTCTCTTTCTCTTTCCTCCTCTCTTTCTCTGTTTCCCTCTCTCTAGACGACTACTGAATTAATTACAACGATTAACTAACTCGGGTCATCGTATGAGGTTGTATAGCTAATTGTAAGAGCTGCCCTGATCAATATCGCGCATTATATAAATCCGTGATTACAATTTATTCATTATCTATTTATCATACCAAACAATAAAACGTTAAATAGGTTTCTCAAAAAACGCGCCAAGCTTTTAATCTGATCTCGATTTTGAAGGATCTCAAACATGATTATCAAACATAATACATCACAGATCGACGTGATATGAAATTTGTCATGATAAGATTTCTACTTCGCTGGCTACGGTAACCGGATGTGCTAGGGAAATGGGTCATGATAAGGATAGCTGACACCTCTGGACCTGAGAGACGGCAATCGTGTTGCTGCAAGGATCTTTGTTGTTCATTTTTCTCTTTTTCGTTTTCTTTCTTATCTGCTTTTGTCACTGTGCGTAATACAATATAAGAATGGCTGCGACAAAAGTGGAAAAGGCGGTTTTGTTGGAGAGCTGTCGGGCAACGCATACAGCAAAAGATTTCTAGAAGAATATAAGAAAAACACGGTTACATTGTTACTGTCGACCATGTTTTATACATGCAACCCATCTATGTCCAATAACGATCCGATAAAAAGAATACAACGCGAACAATAATTCAAAACAAGATAATTCCATAAAAATACGTAATAAAAAAGTACTTATACAAAGTGAAACAAATAAGCTGCTTATAGAAATAAAAAGCGACCTACGAAAAATTCCTAAATATAAATAGATTGTAAAGTAGATTTAATAAATCGTCCTAAAATAAATTCAGAAAATCGTTTTTTCCGTATTTTTCTTTCCTCTTTTTATAAGCCGTTTTTGTTGTATCATAAATGAAGAATTATACCCGTTGAAATTTTGTTAAATTTATTTTTTGCTTTGATGGTGCGTAATAAAATAGCGAATCGATAGATTTACGCCAATATATTTATCATTGGTTTTAATATTTAAGACTGTTTTAAGTATAGTTTAAAGATGTCATAAGCCAATCAAAGGGCTGAATTAGCATATGTCACATTAAGACATTACTTAAGACGGTCTTAAAATAAGAATGGACTATTAATACCGCCCACAGAACGGTATTCATAGTCAGATCTTATATTCAAGACCGTCTTAAGTACAGTCTTAAGAAGTCATGAACCAATCAGAAGGCCGTATTAGCGACTTAAGACATTACTTAAGACGGTCTTAAAATAAGAACCGACTATGAATACCGGCCACAGAGTCATATTAGCATCTTAAGATATTACTTAAGACGCTATTAGAATAAGAATCGATTATGAATACCAACCTTAAACTACTAATTCATCGGTCTCTATCATAAATTAAGCAAAAAAATAAATTTAACAACATTTTAACACGTACAATTTTGCATTTACATAATACAGAAACTGCTTATAAAGAGATTACAAATAAAATAAACTTTAAGTAGATACACATCTAAAAATAATTTTGTTGGACCATCCAAATGATTTATGTAGGATTTTAAAATATGATGAATAATGTCGCATAAAATTTTTAATATTTTAGCAACCAATTTCAACGTTCTATATAATTATTTTGATGGTCCAACAGAATTATTTTCAGATCTGTATTTAGCTAAATTTTTAGACATTTCAACAAAACCGTCCTTTCACACAATAATTTAAAAACGATAAATACATAAAGGAAAGTCGCCTATATCGTATCCCTTAACGTTTAAACAAAATTATGACAAAAAGTACTGAAGAGATCAGAATATTTCTGTACTTATATTAAACTTTGATTCATTGGAAATAAAACAAAACGATACTTTTACGAAAATAAACATTAAATTACTTTTTTAAATTAGATTTAAAAAAGAAAGTAGCTTTCGATACGATTTGGAGATCGGGTCGTTAAATTGTACCATTGGGTTCCTAAATCGTACTTCTAACCTAACAAACAAGCTGACGTTGTTTATTATCATTTTGACATCAAAATAACATCGTTAACGTCAAAACAACGGCAAATAACGTCAGATTGTTTTACTGTTTACTGGGAAGATAAACAAAAATTAATTTTAAAACTTATTTATTAATAAATTTATTTTTATAATTCCGGTTATACAATAGACTCCCGTTATGGAATATCACCAAAAAATGTTACAAAAGGCATTTTTATTTGTAGAAATATTTTGAGTGCTTGCTTTCCGTTATTCACTGCAAATATTGAAAATCTTTGAAAGATCATAGTGCTGATTTGAAAACTCATCATTTTCGTAATAATTTTTTTTAATTTTAGTTCATCAAATTCAAATTACATATGTATAAAGTAAAACGTCGTTTAATTTTTCTGTTTTAGATTACCTGGAAGATTAATATCGTGCACATCAGTGGACGACGAATTTTTGCGCGACGTGATATTCGATTATTAATAACTTTTACATTTATCATTAAAATTTAATAAAAAGAAACTAAATAGTGTTCAAACATGAACACTGTTAAATCTGTAGTGTCAAATTTAATTTAACGTGAGTCGCCACTGCTCCTACTCAATCATATCGTTATTTTATACTAAAACAGTAGCTATATTTGACACTATATAGTGTCAAATTGACACAATATAGTATCAAATTCAACTATCGTTTTGGTAAAAAATAACGATATATTTAGTAGGAGCAGTAGCGACTCACGTTAGGTTAAATTTGACACCATAGATTTAACAGTGAACAAAAATGGTATAAATTTTACATGAATCGAATTGCTAGTTTCTTAAAAAAAAATTCCCAAACATTTTGTCATATTTTTAGTTAAAATAATAGGATTCCTCCTTTAAGTGTGATAAATGTTAAGAAATTGCGTATTCGTACCTGTAATACTGGTGAAAGCCAGTAAAAATTAGTATATTAAAAAATGTTGTTCTTCGGAATCCTTATATTCTTCAAAGTTATAAATCTTTTAATAATTATTCGCGTCCGATGCTATACCTAATAAACATAACCTATCAATGCGTACGAGCCGCAAGGAGATTAAGGGAGCTCGCAAAAATCGTATCGGTATAATATAAAGACCAGCGACAAGTGTACGATTTATCCAACTCCTTCTATTTTTACAAATTTGCCAGTAGCAACATAACTTACAAATATTTTATTAATTTGATGCTCGAAAAAAATTTAAATATCAATTATAACCCTTTAGTACATTATAATTCAATTACCCACCTTGTACTGATAACACCTTAGGTAAATTGTACAAAAACTTAGATCAGATACCGAGCAAAATCAATTTTGAATGTTATTTGTAAACAGACGATTCGAAAACAAAGCAAAAATGATAGTTCTTAAGTCATATTATTGGTGTCACATCAGTGTCATTACCTTTAAAAAAAAGTATTTAGAAAATACAATGGAGATACGACTTAACCATCGGTGATGACTTAGCCAACTCTTCCCTATATAAGAAAGTTCTAAGCTCTAATTTCACCGAAGAGTAATGAATACGAACACAGCATAGAATAAACGAATCGCGCTTGTCGACATTGAGTGCACCGATGTTATTGCGAATCATAATCACAAATCAATACTGATTATTCTGCGTATTAATCAAATCGATCCATTCGTTGCAGGGCTTTCCGAGTATTAGCATTCATACATTACTTCCGCCGTTCTCTGTATGTGCTTTGACGGGTAAGGGCTTACATTCTACGTCGATAGATCCTGAATTATCGCTGATCAGTTCTATGGTACATCCCAGTTGCATGAATACCGATGATATACCGCGTATGGTGCCTTTCGCCGGTGAGAGAGAACTTAGCATTTTGATATGATTGTGACTGCGTTCGTCAAAATAACACATATGTGCATATGTCCGCAAACGTGCCGTCATAATTTGCAGATACAATATCTGTTATAAATCAACATCGACATTAAATGCTATTAGATCTCTCATCGACTGACCGCGATTTTAACGGGATGTGAAACATCAACAGGTTGCTTTACGACGCGGAATAAGTCGGCGATTCGAGGCGAGCGGTCAAAGCATCGAAGGCATCGAAGCACGTGTGCGAATCTTTGATCAATCGGATTGACTATAAAGTAACACGAATTAATCTCACGAACAGAAAAGGAGAGAGAGAGAGAGAGAGAGAGATGAAATAAAGAGAGATATGAAATTCCTGATCGTCCCAATATGAAACCTCGTGCTGACTGCATCGTTGCATTACATAGCCATATTCTTGCATATATGCACATATCTATCATCAGAATGCGCTCG